AAGAAGGCAGAGGGTTCTTGGAGGACTCCAGACCCGTGGACAGCTCAGGCATTAACTCTCCCCCAAGTGACGAAAGGAGAAGTTCATTCACAGTTTTACATTCAGGTCACTGCATCACCAACACCATGGCCCTTTTCTCTGCACAGCTAGCTCTGTTACTGCACTGCAATAGCCACTCTTAGCTGACCCAACATTAAACTTCACTTCACCTGAAATGCTAAATCTGCGGAGTATGTTGAGGTTATTGTAGTTCTTTGCATTAGGTTACATTTCCCAACATGTCATCAGTAATCTGTACTGGGATACATTTTTAAAGTAACCCAATGCAGGTCAGAAGTCAGTTATGTAGTCAACCTTCTACATAGGTTTTTAATTTTCCCAGCTTTGTTTAGTCAAAACATTTTCTAGCATAGTTTTTTTGATACTGCATCTAAGTCAGGTCTGCAAAGTACAGTTTTAGTTGAGCTTATTAAAACAAGTCAGCCTCTTTGTGAGCTGACGTTGCTGCATAGTTTTTTTGTTGTTGCATTTTTACTCAGTCCCCAGCCATATGCTACAGAGGTGAGCGCTTATTCTTTTCACACTTCTGACCACTGAGGGTCGAAATTTCACTTAGACTTGGTCTTGTGATCTCGTTTCCTGGCGATCAGGCACATAATAGTGCCTCTCTGAAACTGTGAAACCTCAGAGAGAGAGGTCAAAATATATCATGATGTTTAAAAGATGTTGTTAATTTAATTATTTGCACGTGGCAGTTCTTTATCTAAGCAAATATGAGATTTTTTTATTAAACCTTTGGCTAAGTTAAGTTTGACTAAGTTAAAAATCTATGCAGAAGGTTAACTTAAAGTTTGAGTTGGCACCCCCCGCCCTGCTGTTATACACTTCCAGAAAGATTTATATATCGTATAACAGTCTAACTAGTAAGCATAATAACCTTAAAACATTGAGAGCAAGATATTGTTGATGTGTCGGATGCACAAATCTACTACTTTGCAATGCATGAGAGAATTTGAGAGGTTGCGCTCTTAGCTTTAAAGCCTTACGGTACTACGTAATATTTCTGTTTCGGTTATGTTTTTGTTTTAGTTTTGTTTCTGCTAGTTTAGCCTGAGTGCCTCTCTAAAACCTGACACTAAAATCTCAGTATCAGTTATTTTTAGGCCTTCATGTTTTTCAGCTATTGTGCCCAACATTCTAATTTGTGCACTAATGCTCTCCTCCTTCCTTCCTGTTTGATTAGAACTTTTTAAAATGAAGCCAGTTTTATTAATTTCCTATATGTAGAGTAGTTCCACACTCTTCAGCTTATCAGAAGCGCACACCTTATTTCAGTGGAACTTGTGCACAGAGCGAGTTCTTATCTGGGGAGCTGCAGCTGCTTCTGTATGGATTTACACAGCTCTGGAGAGCATAGCTAACAGAGATTGGTTGTTAGACTTCCTGAGTTGGCAAAACTGCTTTCAGAAAGGCTGCAACAACACACCCCTCCAAAAGAAAGCAATAAATCAAAGCAACATTAACTATTATGGCTTACTGTAATGTTAAATGCTTTGTTTCCCTTTACTTTATTATAATATTATAATGTTATAATTGGCCTCTGTTTTTGACTACACTTTGATAGACTGTGATTAGAATGATGATATAAAACTCAGTGTAGCTCAGTAGCCACTAGCAGTAGCCAGGGCGTAGCAAAGGGGTCGCTGGAATGGCCAGTGCCAGCCCAGCGTGACGGATGGCCACCCTTCTAGCCCTCACAGTTATGCAGTGAGACAGTCAGATGTTATCAATAAAGCAGTCACCAGAGAAATGTTCTCCTACTTACTCTGAGCAAATGTTTACACTTTACTGTAAAAACTGCACTCAGTAATCAGCTTGTCATTGCTCTGATAGGCTACTTTGCTGAGCAAACTGATGACAGAATGCTGGTCTAAATTTTAATGTTAACCTTGTTCATTTTGCTTAAAGAAGCGGCCGGCATTGTACTTCTACATTAAGAGAGCAGTTAAAATCATCTCAGTAAATTTCTGCATCAACATAGTACAGTGTTTTTGTGCTTAGCAACCATATCTAAGCTTTACTTTCCTACTAATGAATGAAGAACTCCAGGAAAACACTTCAAAATAAACCTGCAGTGAGAATGGCGGTGGCAGTACGTTAGTATTATTTGACTAAGAAAGGGTGAAGAGGTGTAACTGAGGGACATATATTGCCTGCCTGATCATCTAGAGGCTGAAGAAAAGGTTTTGGACTAAGACCAAACTCACAGTTCAATGTCCAAACTATTAAGAAGCAGCTCTAAGGTAAGCTAAACTTTATCTAGGTTACTGAATATGCTAAAAAGTGTTTTAGGATAACGTCTGATGATAAATAACTTTGCAGAATAATGTTAGGATCAGATAGCTAGCTTTTCTTAGCTTTGCTGCTGTTATTGCTTGATAAATGAGTCAGATTAAGCGCTCGCATTTGTACTTGTGAGCATGCAGTTCTTTGCATTTCTTGAGGTTTGCTAAAAGACCCTGCAGTCTGCATCTACACTGCACTGACTAACTTTAGCCAGATTTTGTCATTTTTGGTTTGTAGGAGAAATTAGTTTGATCAGTTTGTTCATTAGAAATGTACCTCTCAGATAAATGACTAAAATAAACACATTTACGAGGAGCTGTTGGTGTGTTTTGAGCTATTAAAAACTGATTTTTTGGCCTGGCGCATTTGACATTCGAGCTAGGCATTAGAGCGTAATGTGGCCCATTACCTAAAATGAGTTTGGCTCTCATGTTGTAACTGAATGCAGTCCTAACATTATATCTCCTCTCTGTATTCAGTCTGTAACCTGATCAAATGATCTAGTTCCCTCCTCTGCAGTCTCCTTATATAGGGAACAAGGGGTCATGAAAAATGACCCCTTACAGTTGTTTGATGTTAACCAACGTAAAATTAGGTTTACAAAATCTTCATCAAGAAGTAATTTTCTCCAAAAAAGGCAAAATTACTTAAAACAAAGGGTTACAATTACTGACACCCCTAAAATAAAAGTTCTGTGAATAAAATTGAATAGAGTCCAATCATTCTTACTCATCCCTCTGCATTAGTCAGGTCAGAGAATGCTAAAAGGGCAATAAGAGCTTAATAAAAGGTTGTTGCTATTCATTCAGTTTGGCAGTAGCAGTGACTATTAGTGCTACCCATTCAGTTCAGGCCATAAATGTTAAAAATCTGTCAGAAACATGAAAAAAACGTTATTGCTAATTACTGGTAGCAGAAACTTTGCTAACATTGGTGCACATTAACATTTTTGGTCATTGTAGATTAAACATTCTAGCTTATAAAAGACATTTGTTTGAAGTGTGTAACAGACATGCTAACATTTTTTTCTGATTTGTTAGTAGTAGTTTTACTGCAACAATATTATTAGTAAAGAGCCCTGGCCTAGAGCTTCTGCCACTGTTTTCCATTTTTAACTGCTGACTGAAACTTGTTCAGACTACCAGATAATTTCATATGTTGGACTTTTAGATGGCCTACAGTTATTTTTTTCACAAAATGTGTCCTTCCTATTGTAAATTCAAACATGATTTCTTGATTCCACTATGTGTTCCTCACTATGTTAGTGATTAATCTGACTCGCTAGGCCTGCAGTTATGTTCCTGAAATCCTAACCACTGGGAGAGCTAGCTTGCCTGTATCTACCTACAAATCACTCAGAAGAGCTCTGACAGTTTCCCTCTGGGCATTACGAATAAAAAAAATTGCTGCTTGCTTAAAAATACCCAATTCAACTATTCAGACAATAATTACAATGTTTAAAACAAGTTGAGCTCTTACAGGCCTGTTTTGAAAACCAAGCTAACTCCATGCCAAAAATCTATATGGAGAATTTATTAGAAGAAAGTTTCTTCTCAGACAAACGTAAGTGCCTTAAGTGGAGCTTTGATTGAAACAAAATTATTGTCAGCTAAGACAAAAGTAGAGGTCACCAGACTGTCACTAGAACAACATAATTCCTCTTCCTCTCTGATGTTGCAAGCCTGTTTCACTTTCGAAAGCCTTGAGAAACACTGAAGCATATCTGACATCATAGACACTGTAAAACTCTTGGACGACAGTTTTGAATGTAATATAGCTGCTTCTGGCAGGGGCTTTAAACTGGGTTTTCCTGGATCTTCCAGGAGGACCACAGAATCAAGCCTTTCCAGGGGTCATCACAGTCTCAGAATTTAAAACTCCACTGCGGAGACCTGACGTGGAGAATCAACAAAGTAGAATCACAGGCCCTAAAGCATCTGGTGATACTCCACAAGGAGAAAATATCTTTATTTAGGTGTAAAAAAGTATTAAATTGAGAGATGCCAGTTAACACGTTAGCATTTTTGTTCACAGTGACTGAAGGTGCTACAAATTCTGCTACACTTTTGAACGATCAGATGTTTTTATAGTTTTCCTTGTGGAGAATTTCTGCATGATTACATTTTTCAGACAAAAACAAAGTAATTCAGAGTGGTTTGATGTGAAATGGTCCATCTCAGAGAAACTTGCCCACTCAGGTTTCTTTACGGTGGTGATGATAGGAACCAGGTCTTGAGACATCTACAACACATATACAGCTGTTTTATTTACTATCCAAAACATAGTTTATGTGTAGTCTTAATCATTGGAAAATAGTGGTACAGCTGAAAAAATCTGTTTTCTCAGGGGACTATTTTGCCCTGCATGTACCCCACTGCCTTCAAGGTTTGTAAAAAATATATATACATTTCAGGCCAAAAACTTATCTGAAACTATCATAAAAACAAGCTTCATATGATGACTCAGGGGAAGCGTGTGCCAGCCTTCACCCTCCTAGCACTGATGGTATCATGTGACTGGGGGAGACCTAACTATTAGGTGAATTGAATCTGACTAAATTGAGGAGAAAATAAAAAAAAACAGACAAAAAACAAACAGAAAGGCTGTACCTGTGCTGAGATGTTCATCTCTCTCTTCCTTTCTCTCTCTCTCAGTATGGATGGAGCAGACCTCTGTTTTGAGATCGTAAAGAGAGCAGATGCTGGGTTTGTCTACAGTGAGGCTGTAGCGAGGTAAGCATGTTTATGCCATTCATGTACACAAATGATTTGTTTGTTCTTTTAACCTATAGCTCCAGAAAGATTGATGTTTTGAGGTTCTTCTGGGAAACGCTGGATTCTCTTTAAATCAGTACTTTGATAAAATTCTGTCAGAAAGTGAGCGAGAGTGTTGATTAATTTTGGCAGTGTACCAGACTAATTATGCATCCTGCTATTGCACAAGGACCTTTCTGACAGATGCATTTCCCACAAAGCACTGCAAATTATGCTGTTCTATTGAACAGTGTTCAGACTGAAACGAAAGTATTTGATCATTCTCGCTCTCAGCTCCCCTCAGTCTCCACTGTGGTATTGTTGAGCAGCTTGTTGAGCCAGTTTGGATTATTCTTTCCCTTCATGTCATTTATCACAAGAGTGCAATAGTGAACTTGCTTTAAAAATTCTAAAACTGGCAGTCAGAAGTTTCATATATGAAAGATTTCATATATGAAAGATCTCTTTGTCCTGTGTTTTTCTACACAGTGTTACTTGGATTATTTGTGATGTGCATCTTTATGCTGCCTAATCTTTGCCAATTTACATTAGTCAACTAAGCCTAGATGAGATTTGGTAATGTGAAGTGCTGTAGGGTTATTTGTTATTTACATTTAGTGCAAAACATTAGTATTTGATTTGAGATGATGGTACCCTACAAAAATCCAGGCAGTCGTCAGTGAAGTACGTACTGTATGTTGTAAGAATACAGGATAATACTTTATTTTGATGGTCCACTATACCAAAGGAAGTGGCCCAAAATGACTTGGAAAAAAGTCTGGTTCCACTGACATTAAAAGTAAAGTATGTTTTTTCCTTCTCCTGTAAAATTGTCATTTTGGAGATACAAGGTTTTGTTCCAACAGCAGCAAGATACATATATATCATGTGTATGATATGACATGTGTATAATATGTATCTTATATATATATATAGGTTTAGGGTTAGAGCTAATAGTTTCTTATATTCCACATGAAGTTCAGTTGCCTTTAATAGATATTTAGATAAGTGCTAGTTAAAGGCAAAGTGAGCATATAGTCTACAAGCATCTACAGGGGGCTCTCAAAATAAAATGTTGCTGAATATAGTGCAAAGTGCCAGAACTGAGATAAGCCAGTTTCTTTTTTTTTTAGAAGCAAAGCAACTAATGGATCTGGCTTGTAATATATAAGAGAAATATACAGTCACCTGGTTGACTTACAGCATAAACTGAGCTGTGTAGTATATAGTATATAGCAGTATAGCTGAGCTGTTCTTTTGTACTCAGGTGGATAGCAGTTACATTCAGTGCTTCTCCCTGTGTGTCATTCTCGTTCTAGTCACTACATGAGACAGATCCTTGAGGCGCTGCGGTATTGCCATGACAACAATGTCATTCACCGCGATGTAAAGGTAGGCTCTGTAATGATTATTTGTTTTTATTATAAATACATTATTTTTTGCAACCTGAAGTTGCTACCAGCCACATGGCAGTTCAAGGTGTAAGTTACATCCTTGAAAACATCTCAATAAAGTGTTTCATCTTGTTCTAAAGATCCCATATGCAGGTCTGATCTTTCTGTCTCACATATAGTTCCTTTCTCAGAACTACACAATCTCACAATCTGGTATATTTACACTATGAATAATAAGGTTTCTGTGGGTTTGAATGAAATACTGGAAGGTTCTCTTTCTGGGTCTGTACTGTGACTAGTGACTGATCTTGTGCTCATGATCAGTTTTGTAACTACTGCAGAATCAATGCTGTTTGAGACAAGTGCGTGACCAGATGTAGTGGAGTGATATGGAAGGATGTTGCCATAACCACAGGGCTGTCACTGTGCAACCTCAGTGACTGCGATACCATTTGTTTGTCCATATGCAGTGTTCGTGGCTGATGTCATGAATACATTTGTGGTGTTGTTAAAGAGGTACCGAAATCAAACAAAATACATGCATAAATACGTTCTGAGAGCCCATCTCCACCTACATGGAATAACAAAGCACAAACCAGGATGATCCTAAACTGGGATCCCACATAGGCTGTGTCACTTTGGGCAAACATGTCACTGTTTTCCACTGTCTGCACTGTTAAACTGCATGTAAGCCAAACATGGCGCACATTAAAACATGTTTATTTGACCAACATGTCTTAAAACAGATCTAGGCCACTTCCACCTGATATTTGGCAGTATGTTAGCCTATGTAAAAGTTTTTGTTAACTGAGAAAATGAGGCAGTCTAACATAATCTGCCTAAATACTAACACTAAAGCTGCTAAAGCTACTAAAACTTGCAGTTTAATTCAAATTTGGTTCAACCTTAAATTTGTGGATGAGTTAAAATTTCACATTTATTGAAAATTGAATAGTAAGCTAACATTCCGGCCCCTGGATTTGGACGAAATCATGCTGTTAGCAATAACAGAACACGGCCCTGCAAAAAAACACCACCTTAGCTAATCTGATAGAAAACTTCTTACTCTTCTAAGAAGCCATTGTGGGTTGAATTCCCTTTTCTGTGTGCACATACTTCCTCTAAGTTGATTTACCAAGGAAATTTTTGATCTGTTTGGATAAAACATCTAGGTATACATTGCACCTGCAGTTGTAGGAGTGCATGAAGAGGAAGGTAAACTGCTTAAGAAGAATTCTTTGTTTTGTGTTTTTTGCCTCCAGTTTTGACAGTTGATACCACGTGGATACAGTGCTGTGCAAAAGTCCTAGGCATGGAGGCAGATTATTTAAAGCCATTTATTTTGCCAGTGAGTGTTTTGCTTGTAAAATCGCCAAATACCTTTAGAATAAATGCAAGTAAAAATAAATACAGTTTAAAGTAACTAGAATTTCTTATTCTGAAAAAAGTATTTGGTAACTTGTTTGCTGGTTATAAGAACAGTTAAGTTCCTTCAGCAGCACACCTGATTTAACATAATGAAGTGGTGATTAGTCAAACCGGGTACTGGAAGATAAGACTTCTTACTACATTATTATTTGTTTTCTTTTTATTTATCTGTAGCTCGGATTCTGAGATTTTTGTGAGAACCATTCTGGCACCCAAACAGGCCTTTACTGAGTGTTAACCATTAATATGTATTACCACAGAAGCATTTCAACTTTGATTTTAGCTGGCTTTTAGCAGGACTTGCAAAAAATACTGCAACAGTGAGGAAAGATCGGTTTGCTGATCACCGCAACTGTGACTTTAAGAATAGGACATTATTACTCTGCTGCACTTTTGGCAAGACGCCGCACAGTCATCGCTGAGTTTTACAAATCTGGCCCAATATTTTTATCCAATAGCTCTTGTCAGTTGGAAGCTGATGTTGTGCCCTGGCATCACGTGTTCATATCCATTCAACTGCATCTAACACTGGCAGCTATGTTCTCCATATTAGGCTTCACATGAATATCGTAGTGAGTTTTAGTAATGGCTTTTTATCCACTTTCCATGCCTTGTCTGATGTATGAGGTGAACAGTAATATGGTCATAGTTCATTATGTGGCCTATTTGAACTGTAAAGCTGTTTAGTTTAGCATGTCACTCTGCACTCTGGCTGTCATTTGCAACCACCGGCGTGCAAAACATGCACGGTACACTGTCTCGCACACAAACAAATGCACAGAACCGCTAACAAGTCCTTCAGTATAGACGGTTTGTTTTCACAACAAACAAGGCGAGCACAAAGCCAAAGTTCACACTTATCTTAGCAGCATCTAAGCTTGGCAGTGAGGGCTTCACAGCAACTATGACACATCTTAGAATTGTGCGCCTTTCTCTTCCTGCTGCTTTAAACACTTTTATCTTCTTATAGATACAGTTTAGCATGAGACAAAATGAATATATATGACAAAAGACGAAGAATCTTCAATGTGCAGGGGTTGTTGCTAGTTTTAGCAGAGAAAGTGCACTGAGAACATATTCTCATTTACAAGCATGCCTGGAGCAGAACGGCGTGACGGAGGTTGCACCCCAAGAGCATCTTGATGTCATTCAATGTGCTGCTCAGAAACTTCAATTTCCATGGAGGCAAACCATCAGCCTAAGAGTGATTAATAGGTTCCTATAGTGGGCTAAGTGTTTGTTTCTTTCCACATGTGAAATGGTTCCATATAGCTGCTATCCCATGAAGTGGCTGAAGATGCTGGGGCGTGTTTGAGTCATTAATGTGGTGTGAGGATATGTGAACTAGTTCTTACGTACTGATACTCAGAAAACATGGGTTCCATTTTCCTCTGACTGATATTTGTGTCCTGGAATGATATTTCAGCACTTTTTCTACCAGAGCTCATAAATATCCTATGCTAATTCTGAGAAGATATGTACTTTTCTAAGAGCATCAGTACACCAGGAAGCTTATAGCCTGGAGTCCCGTTCCTCATGATAGACACTCAGGATCAAATCCGCAACCTTGCTGGAACCTCAGATCTCTCTGTAGTCCTGTGTAAGCACCCTTGATTTGGTTTTCAAAATAAAACTAAAGAAAATATATGCGATCTCATCTCTGAAACCATGAGGTTAGAATTTGTCCACAGGGAAAAAAGATTTTGCAAGTTGAATCTGATCATTTTTATTCACGAATATTTCTTTTTCTGTGTAACGTCAATGGCAGCTAAATAGCACACAACACAATTAATAGTGGTGTAACACAGGGGCGAGCCACAGGTACTCAAATAGGGAAAGAATATTTGATTTTTTTTAAGATTTGAAACTTGATTAGTTTTTTTTGAGTGCTGTCTTTGTATTATGGCAATTCAAGTCATTATGCTGTCAGTCAAGTACAACTTCTAGTCTCAGACCTCCAATTATTGCTTAACAGACTTTGCCATCCGCCATTCAGTTTGATGTCAGCGTGCCTGTGTTTGAATGTGAAGCTCCAGCTGTGAATTTGCTGCTTACTGTGCTCTTTTACTACAAGTGCTGACATGGTCTTTGTGAAAATATCAAAGCAAACGTCTAACGTTACTTCAGTGCATTGAGTCATTACATGTAAGACATAAATGGACCATTAACATTTTTCATGCCTGCTGTGACCGTATGCTTTAGTCTAAGATGATAAGGTTTAGGGTTGTAAGTTTGCTGTGTTTTTCTAATCGGCATACATCTTGACTGTCTGATTTTAACTGTATGTCATCTTCATTGGGCACATGTGCTTGTGGTGAGCAGATGCGTGCTTTAGAGTGAAGGTGTCAATTTTATCTCAGTCATGTTGTCTTCTTTGAGTCAGACTGCCGTGGCAGTATGCTTTAGCCTAGTATGGTTAGGCTTAGGTTTTTGTTTGCTGTGTTTTTCTCATCACTGTATATTATTACAGTCTTTTTAGTATTAAAAATGCCAAATTTAGCATATCTTATAAATTAGCATCATTGCCATGATGTAACTTAACAGTGTTGCCATAGGCTTCTTGTAAGATTTCTTTGTCTTTCGTGAGTTTATCGCTCACCATAGCACACTGTCTGCCACAGCATGTGAAGTAGGCTGTGCGATGGTATGATGTGTTAACTATCGAACATTAATCATCTGTAATCATTTGTCATGTTGGCTAATTATTTTGTGCAGTATGTTTGGGGGTAATGCAGGATAGGTTCTTTACGAGGCACATGTAGCCCCAAAAGTTTACGTTAATGTTACTCAGCTTAGCATGTTTACTGTTTATCACCTATATCACCACCCATTTTTGGGTGAAAATAGTTGTGCCCCCTCAGTGATTTCTTTCTCTCCCATCTAACTGATCCCTCCCCTCCTCCTGCCAAGACCTTCGCTGTACTGATTGTACTCATTATAGAGTAATGCATTCATTTGTTTTCTGACTCTATCACACTGTTATTGTCTGTTATTTCTGCTGATTGTTTTTGGAAATGTATTCAGTTATTTTGTAAACTGTTGACAGATCTCATTCGCTGTGCTACAAGGTGAAGGACTGGTGCAGAACTAGCACAGTCCTCCCACTTGTGTTATGTTTGTTGTCAACATGGTGGGCGGCATAACACTGAGGTGTATAGGTTCATTTGCGGCCTGCATTTACAGCTCATTTGTAGTCTGAAAGCCCTCAGGGCAGCCCAGAGAACTCTAGCTGTCTGGCTAACTTGCAGAGAAATATGCAGTATTGGACAGAGCAGTAGCTGGAGTTAGTGTGACCTATTGGAAATCCCTTTTATTCTGCCATTTTGTGCTATTTTGTGAATTACAGGCTCTGTGACCTAAAATTAGTGGGTAGTGCATGTTTGGTGGAGATTGCTATGATTCTCTTCCTAAAATATTGATTTGGAGACCAACAAATCAGGGTGAAATCCTGGTTAATTGAGCACATTTTGGACAATTTGTGACGAGCCTTTTAGAAAGAGAGTATTTTTCTCATGCATTCTCTACTGTCCTGTTCAGGGCCAAATCTTTCTGTAAGTGAGATTGCTTAAG